ATCGGTTTTGGTATTCTTGTTGTTTAGCATTTTGTTAGTAATTTTATAGTTAAATCGAAACAAGATAGTAATTGAATAATACTTGATAATCCGAAAAAAATGAAAATCCAGTAAAAAAAAGGTTGGTAATAGCAGCGGATTAAGCATTGTCGAGGCACAACGGGATGCAGCCTTTGGCAGCTTCAAACATGTTGAGAAGACACCGCGCAGCGTTTCTCAATCAAAGCTTGGGTGGTACGAACTAGTATTAGCCTGGGCAGTAGCTGGCCTTGGTATTCCTGGTATAATAGGATTTCCTAAATCCATAGCTTTCCCTTTCGTACATTTCGAAAAAAATCTTGGCAGTGCTGCTTTTGATAAATTCCTGCTTCTTTTTACTGTCTTCCCCCAAATTCAGGTTATTTTATGCCGAATCGTGCTCTGTTTGAAAATTTTGGCTCAATACTGGTATTTGCTGTGATCGGTACAATATGGAATTGCTTAGCGATTGGTAATTTTTCATGACTATAATTTAGTTTCAGTGCTTTAAACACAATCTTTTACTAGCTAGTGGCTATGGCGCAGAGGATTAATGCTAAAAGGCAACGGTTCGATTCCGCCAGTGGACAGTCAGTCCCTCTACGATTAGTTCATTTCTTTCGATGATAAACTAGCACTAAGGCACGTCATGAAACCGTCATAACCTATATAACTTCAGGAAGAGGAAATCATCGACAGCCTTGCTAGCATGTGGTTGCTGCTTACAGAGTGTTTTTTTCACTCCAATCACTTTCAAACGCCTTCATCTTTCACAGAGAGTAAAGCATGACTTTTATGTTTGCCGAAAAGGATAAACATGTTTTATGTTTGCCAAAAAGCTAAAAACTGCAGGTGCATCCTAATTTGGATTCTGAATGTATATTATTTAAATGGGGAAGGCCGAGAGGAGGTGTTATTGCTCAGAACACGCCAAGAACATCTCAAAATGGCTAAAACATGTCAGAGAAGACGAAACGAATGTCAGGATCGCCATCAGACTGAGTAATAGGAGATGCAGCACTTTGTTAAAGTAATTGGAAAGGCTGATAGTTGCATAGCCGGAGAGCCGAACTATCAAATTTGGCTGATTCAAGTATTAACTACTCAATTTCAAATATTTTCCGTTCCAGGTTCATCACTATACGGATTTGGCTTACTGGATGCATTTTCGATAAAATTTTCAATCTTTGAGATTTTCCTGTTCTCGGCTCTGATCAGTGCGGTGGATCCGGTTGCTGTGATTGCGGTTTTCGAAGAGATTCACGTTAATGAAATGCTTTTTATCACTGTATTCGGTGAGGCACTTTTTAACGACGGTATCACTGTGGTATGTTAATTTTTTGTCAGAACACGTTGAGCAATAGCTTATTACTTTAAAATCAAATTTAAAACCAAAATATTCAACGTGCTGTTAAATGGAAATCAACTTTCGCTAAACTTTAATCTTTTTTAACTCTCTGTAAAGGCTCTTAATAATTTGATAAATTATTTGATTATTAAGACAAATGCACCACTAATGGTTGAATAATAATCGCGAAAATCGAAAAAACTCAGTTTTTACTCAACTTTTATCTTTTATCGAAATCATTTGAAAAAAATTTGGGTAATATTGATCCACCCGAATTATTACAGGAAATGAATTCGGAAAAGCTTTTCCAGTAACAATTAACTTGGAATATCACTAAAATCGAAGCCCGCAGCAAATAATTAAGAATTGAATCCAACCCAAAATTAGAATTCACTTTGATTCAAACATTTAAGAATTTTAAGCAATTTTCAAACAGACCTGTTTTGGTGTGTTCAGGTGTTATATCAAATGTTTCGAAAGTTTGTGCTGATTGGAGCTGATAATTTGGTGCCCATTGATTATGTTGCCGGCGGAATCAGTTTCTTCGTGATCGGACTTGGTGGTGCTGCAATTGGCACTTTCTATGCTTTCATTGTTAGCTTCATCACCAAGTTAGTGACAGTGAACTCAAAACCGGTGCTCCAACTTTTTGAGCTAAAATTCGTGTGCACTATTACTTTTGTTGCACTAGTCAATTTTCAATATGATGATATTACACCATTTTTGCTAATTTCAACTTGATAGCACAACATTTCCAGAACGAGCAATCAGGAGGAGACACCCTACCAGAGGACTAAACAATCATTGAAAACAACATCGCCCAATAATCCCCTAAGATTTGCTGCGGACTTTATACAGACAGTGGTGCCGTGCAAGAAGAATCAAAGATTTCCCTTGAATTATTGTGGCTCTCATTAGAGACAGTCGGGTCGTACACAA